TCATGAGTTAAGATCAATTATCGACGTATACAAAACAACCAAAAATGCCATATAATGTTTGTTTAAATAAGGAGATGGCACTTAATATTCAAAATCTAAACTTCTGCATTCGTGATTGGGGTACGGGACGACGCCCACACTTCTCTAGCCGAGGCCGGAGGACAGTGGCGAAGATTTTCGGACAAAACAACATGTAGTGTAGATGTAAATAGTATTGTACATAAATCTGTAAATAAATTTTTCATTCATTCACTTTATTTGATTCTTCTTTTAAATTTGAATTATGTAAACCGTGCAAGTTTCCGTCCGACTGAAAGACGTTTGTAAGTCGTCTTAAAGACGTCTTTGAGCTTTCACATTAATATATGGATTTGGAAAGACGTCTTTAAGACGTCTTAGAAATGTCTTTGAGCTCTCACATTAATACGTCTGAATTATGGCTGTTGACAGACGTCTTATAAGACGTCTTAATAACGTCCTAGGACATTGAGACCAAACCAAGACACAAAAAAGACGTCTTTCAGACGTCGTGTGCTATCTTGGGAGGTATATCCCCAAAAAAATGAAGAGAGGTAAAAGTGGTATTTATACCCAAACCTGGAAGGATGGATTAAACTATCCCAAAAACATACCGACCAATTAGTCTGACATCGTTTTCAATGAAGACATTGGAAAGCTATGCGAAAGGTACATAAGGGATGCGGTGATTACAACATCATCCTTACACCCAAACCAACATGCATACACCCCAGGCACATCTATTGATTCAGCCCTTCATGTAGTTGCTGGCCGGATAGAAAGATCCCTGGACAATAAGGAGTCCGCTTTGGGTGTTTTCACAGACATAGAAGGTGCTTTAGATAAAACCACCCCACCTTCCCAAAGATAATACACTCACTAACCAACAGGAATGTTCCTCAAATGGTTAGTGGGTGGATACATAACATGCTCTCAAAGCGAGCAGTAAACATAAGTGTAGAAGATGTGAATATAAGAGGTTTGGTTGCGAGGGGATGTCGACAGGGAGGGGTGCTATCACCTCTTCTGTGGAATATGGTCTTCGACACCCTCATCAGCCGCCTCAATAATGACAGTCACTACACAATAGCATATCCAGATGACCTGGTCATTCTGCAAAGAGGGAATTTTGAGAACATACTCTGCGAAAGAATGCAAGTAGCTCTAAAATCTATCGAACAGTGGTGCAAGGACCATTTAATGTCTATCAATTCTAAGGAGACAGAAATGTTCCTTTTTACAAGAAAAAGGATGAAAATGGAATTAAAACCTCCAGAACTCCTAAACACAAAACTATACTTTGCAACAGAGGTGAAGTACCTAGGTATCACCTTTGACAGCAAGTTAACATGGAACTCGCATTTAGAAAAGAGAGTTAAAAGAGCATACATTTGTGACAGGCTTCTGGTTCACCTACTATGCATCAACGAGTCTGTGTGGCGCTATGATGGTGATTCCCGAATTGAGGTTACTCAGGCGCCAGTTTTGGTATCGCAGTTTGCTCTGCGACCCTGTAGTACACCAGAGTAAACTTAAGGTAAACTCAGTGGAGGTAAAAATAATTCCAGGCGGTCACTGCTAGGTAGTCACTATACTAGAATAAATAAAACTAAAACACTTATCTCCTTTACACCTTGTACCCTACGGTACCCTGAAAGAGAACGGTTAAGAACCAGCAGCAAGAGAAACACAGGAATAGGTAATACAATATATATATTTACAAAAAAAATACAACGGTAATTAAATATGAACGGCTCCCTGTATTCGGAAAATTTATTAAAAATAAATTATTACACTTGAAAACTAATTAAATATTAACGGCTCCCTGTATTCAGAAAATTTATTGATGAAATGAAAAATGCTGGGCATGAATCAAAATTCTTTCACTTGTCGGACGTGTGTCCCAAATTAATTGTAAATAAAAAAAAGAATATGCGGTTTCCTACCTTAGAAAATAAACGGGGTGATTCAATGATCTTTCGAAATCACGGCACTCACGGAGTATTTCACTAGGCACTGTAGAAGGGCGAATAGTTTTCGGCTGTCGGCAATCAAGAGGCTTACGGTGGTCGGCAATCAAGAGGAAGTAATTCCCAGGTGTGATCGAATTTATGCTTTTTCGGTAAGCCCGAGTGGGGGATACCACTACTACAGCCGACTGTTTATAATTTAAAAATTAAAAAAAAATCCTTCTATACTCTGTTTTTAAACTAAGAGGAGCGATTTGAATTTAAGTTGGCAATTCTGTAGCCTTCTGATTGGTCAGATTACAGTCAGTTTCACACATTACTTTTTGGAATGAACATTAGCTAATAATTGATATTGTTGACAGTTCTGACATTTTATTATTTGATATTTCATCCATTACTTAGTTTTTTAGTTTATTTCGTAAATAATAGTTCTTCAGTAAGCAATTGTATTGAAAATCTACAATTATGGATCCTTCTACACTGAGTACTATTAAAGGTAGCAATTACAAGAAAGGGAAGACACCTTATTATTTTACATGCTGATTCTGAAGGTTTTGTAGAAAATGCATTATTGGTTTTTGAAGGTAAAAAGATGGGAGATTACCATGAAGAGATGAATTCCGAAGTATTTTAGAAAAAAAATTATATTATTACTGATTTTTTAAAACTAAAAATTGATGAATTTCTATCCAAAATGATTAAAATGTAACTAAGTATTTAAGAAATTTTATTTATTAGAATAGAATAAAACTATTTACAAAATTGTTATAACATTTAAAACACCATCTACTACTTTAGGGATAATCTTAATTTAGCACAATGAGTTAACATTACTTTCACAAAAAATATTTTAAAAATACTTAAAATTAATACATAGGTATGTATGAACAGTTCACTTTAAAAAATATATGTTGACATGTAGTGTTATGAAAATGTTGGTTCCAGTTTTCAAAACAAATTCTGACTCATAGGCATGTAAACTTTTGAATGCCTTTATTTGCCCTCTAGTGCATTAACCATGGGTTAACACTAAATAAGCCATAATATCAACATTACTCATAGAAGAGATACCAGTTACTGTGTGATCCACTTGTCATTCACTGATTAACTTTTACTTTCTATACCTATAACAAATTATCCTTAAAAATGTAAACAGATCTTTATATTTTATACTAACCTGGCTACATCTGGATATTCCATTGACAATTTTCTTAAATATTTAATATTCATTTTAAAAAGATCATAGTTATTCTCAAAAAGTCGATTTCAAAAGCAAGAAATAAGTATTTCTGACATCAATTAACAACCATATTGACTTTAATTTGACAGTTACATTTCGTTTTAGACACACATTTCAGATCACAATAATGTGAAATTTGCGACCGTTGTCTGGGACCAATTAAAAAAATACTTCTATGACATTTATTCGTTTCTTAACCGCTCATTGGCCGTTCGCCGACTAAGGCCGATAAAGATAATTATTTCATAAATTTTGAACACGACTATATTTCGAAACTCGCTCTTAGTAACAAATCTAGTTACTTTTCCCTGTATAAATGCGTCTTTTCAATTCGCTCCTCCTAGTTTAAAAACAGAGTATAGTACCTTGACAAATAAAAGTAGATAATTCATACGAAATCGACTCTAAAAATGCCCATTCGGATTTCGGCAAATATAGGAATATTTTAACCTACGAGGGTACTCGCAATTGTTGAAAAACAGTAATTTTTGGGAAACCGAAATACGGGGTATCTTCTACATGTCCTCAGGCAGGAATTAATTGAAATATACATTTTTAAGAATAATTAAAAATAAAATTTAGTGACTTCGTCACTCATTGCTTATGAACAATGCCGCCGAACCGTGGAGCGCACCTGGGGTTTCACCCCCAGAGTCGTCGCATAGACTTATACGGCTATCATAAGACCTATGCTAACATACGGTGCAGTTGTCTGAGTACCAAAAACCCAAAAATTAACAGCTATCCGTAAACTAAAACAAATTCAAAGACCAGCATGTATCAACATAACAGGGGACATGAATACAACACCGACCAGAGCCATGGAAGTTATTCTTAGTCTCACTCCCCTTGATATTTACATCAAGGAGGTTGCTCTGACGACAACGACACGCCTCCGCACGGTTGGAATAGAACCTGATGTAGGATTTGGTGAGGCGAGACGGTTCTAAAACAAAACAAGGCTCAGGATGTGGAATATACTCCAGATTCTTAAATCTAAACATAAAATGAGTTGTAAGCAATAGTGCCAGTGTAGTTCAATCAAAGCTAAGGGGGATTCTCATTACAGCAAAAGAAATAACCAGGAACAATATCACTGGAAGGAATATGCTCCCATTTGTTAGAAGATTTGTGTTAGGCGAGTATCGGCTAATACCGACCGATATAAGAGAAGCACCTCTTGGCGACGTTGTCAACTACATTAAATCTGTGGGCTGGCTAACGAGCTTGGAGGTGCCCAGCTTCTCAGGAGTATGTACAATGGGCCTAGTGAGGCCTAAGTGCCGTGAGGGTAACCCTCCTTCTACACGTTACAATTACAATTACAGAAAGGAAAACTGTTGGCAACAAAATTATTAATATTACCACCCCATTTATTAATTATTATTAAACAACATGAGTGTAAACATAATACAAAATACAACGAATCGTCGACGGTCGAAGACGTGTCGATATTTCTCTTTAATAATCTAAGTTTTCTGTTGGAAAAAATGTACTTTATATCTTAAATTTTATACCATTTTTCTCAGTGAAAACTACACTTTTAGTGGACAATAAAATCCTATCATTTCATAATAAAAATCAGTGCAATTTCGTGAAAATGATGCATTTATACGATAATTAATGTCGAAGTTTTTTTCTCAATACAACAAAAACTAGTATTATAAGCTTTACTTCGATGTGATTTTTAAAAGTAGTACTGTGAATAAGGTTCGCAGTTTTCAGTAAAATTGTTATAGTCCGGTCATTCAGTGCAATTTTTCGATTGAAAAATGTTTTGCATAAAATGTAAATTTAAAGAAACCAAAGAAGATCAGCTAGTAGTTTATGATAAGTGCATGTGCAAACTGTGTCCATCTTGTAGCAAACTTACAACAACAGAATATAGAGTCGCTACAATGAAGCAAGCCAGAATGTTAATATGTTTTTGTTCTACTTGCAGACCAACCATCTTTTTAAATCCTAGTGATGATGATACGAAAGAAGAAATAAAGGTAATGAAAGATAACATCGGTACTTTAACTAACAGCATAACTAAACTTTCAACAAATCTCATTACATCTCTCTCTAATGTTAAAGAAGGGACCACTAATAATATAGAAAAAATTGTCTCTCAATATATCAAACAAGAAGTTGAAAAACTAAACAAAGAAATAAAAAATGAATTTATCCAGATTAATAGTGAAGTCAAGACTCTTCGAGAAAGTAATCTAGATATGGTAAAACTTCTTACTCATGCTCCATCTAATACCTTCAAATATAATGCAGCTGTGAAGCATAACTTAACTCCGTTAAGCAGCTCCCCCATTCAACTTACTGTTCCTTCTACAATCAACAACAATAACTTTAGTTCTAACAATACCTTTAAGAATAGCCAAAAGGATATTATCTCAATCTCTCCTACGATTGAAACTAATGATAAAAACGTACAAGCACAAAATACACTTTTACAACTGACTACCTCAAATCAACAACGTGAGAAACATTCTTATATGAAAAAAAGAAGCAATCAAGTTGGTACTTGTAACACAATTTCAGATGGTGATGCTGATGGATTTGAAGGCATTGAATCTAAGAAGAAAAAAATATGGTTGTTCATCTCACGTGTCAAAAAGAAAGTAACAACTGATAAGATCGTTAACTACATATCAAAAATAGCTAACACTGATACCAAAGATATTTTCGTAAAAACTTTAGATACTCAAACTCAACAAATTAGCAGCAGCAACAGCTACATGGTAGGCGTTGACCCTAGTATATATAGTACAGTAAATAATACATGTTTCTGGCCGAAAGGTGTATCTTTTGAAAGATTTGACTTCCGAAAAGGTCGCCGCTTTCTGGATAATCCCCGATACAGAACAGCAGAAGCATAAATGACACAGCTTCTTCAACAAATGAAAAACCTAATAATAATTATAAAAACGCTAGTAATGCTCAAATAACAATCATCAGACAACACAGAATAATGGACATGTTCACCATTTTTTCCCCAAGAAAGAAATTAACTTTGATACACCAAAACCTGGAAAGTATTAACAATAAATTTCTAAAAATTCAACAATTTTTAAATGCATCGTGCCCGGATGTCTTTTTAGTCACTGAACATTGGCAATCTTCATCTCAATTAGCACATTTCACTTTTGATAATTTTGTCTTATGTTCCTCCTTTTGCCGACTAGAAAAAGAGCATGGAGGAGCTGCTATCTATGCCAAAGCCAATCTTGGGATAAGAATGGTTGATTTGTCCAACTTCTGTGTTTCTAAGGAATTTGAATGCTCTGGTATTGAAATCATAAATCAAAAATTAATTATAATCGTTGTTATATCATCCTCCACAAAATACTGTTTCTAGTTTGGAAAAATTTCTTGACAACTTTGATCTTTTGCTTGGCAATTTTGACTTGAACACCCACACAATTATCTTAGGTAGCGATTTCAATATAGATTTACTAAAAAACACACCACAAAAACGAAAGTTTGTAGATTTTCTGAGTTGTCGGGGTCTAAAACCAACAATTAACGAACTTACTCGTGTGACTAATACCAGCTCCACTTGTTTAGATAATTTTATCACAAATATCCATTCTTCTAAATTTAGGGTGAGATTACAGAACGTCTGCAACTTTGCAGATCTGTAAATATGGCGGCAACTTTAAAAATCTGCAAATATGACTGACTTACACATGCAAGTGTCAAGTTTTCGTATTCCAAATTTGGGTTTAGTGTTGTTGGGGGTAATAAACTACAATAAATATTGCGAATTTGCAGATATTTTTTGGAATACTGTAAGGGGTTTTCTCGCCTCAGAGAAAACGGTTCCTTACGAATGACGCTGGTTACGGACGGTTCTCGAGCGCCAGATTTTTGGTGATGGTTTACTCCACAAACTCTCGAAACAGCGTCGAAAGTACTCGGGCAGCACAGATGGAGATGCAAAATTCCAGGGGTCAAAGGTTACTTAGACTCAAATAATTAGTAGCCACAAGTAATGGGCTGTAATCATTACTTGTGGTTGCAAAGAATTTCTCACTGCTGAAAAATAAGGGGGAAGTAAATTGGTGACTAGTAAACTCAGTAATAGTCACGGTAATTTTGACACATATATTGATTTAACTATATACACTAAAAAAAATAAAAATAAGATATTTCAACGCCCACCCTCGGTTATGAAACCCTGAACAAATAAAATGAAGCAATGGCAAAACGGTAACGAACGGCTGATATAGTTGGCAGGTATTCTCAATCAGACTGCTTAAACTGGATACGGTAAAGGGGTCGCGTATACAAAAAAAATGTATTCGGAAATCTCGTTTCGTTTTTAAAACCCCTGAATACAATGAGCAAGCTACGGTGAATCAAACCCACACTACCTCTTATTGTTATTTATTATTATAACCCCAAGTCGGACAAGGATATCTAGGAAGAAAAATAACACACGGAACTTTAAGCCCTCAGTGAGTTATTTGGAAGTAGCCAGGACGGAAAAATAAAGGAACGGAAATTTTATATTCAAAACAGGAAATGATACCCTCCCCTTTAGTAAAAAAAAATATCGCGAACAGTCAAACTAAACCAACAAAAAATATTTAATTCCCTTATTTCCCACAAATAGGAATTTAACAAATCTATTCGTTTAAAAGTCTATCTAAATTTAAAAAAAAAATGAACACTCTAATTCCTATCTTTTCCCAATTTACTTATTTAATAATTCTCTTTATAAAGTCAATTTATAACGGAAGCAGTCCTCACCGTTCGAAGACGATAATAAAAAAAATAAACACGGTCAATATGAAAACAAGAAACTATTCTTCGACTGTTAATTTAATTATTAAATTTCGGAATTTTTACAAAATTATTTACGTGTTAAAATGTGGTCTCAAACGGTGTTTAAATATACTAATTTAATTTGGTTTTAATTCCTATCTAAACTCGATACTACGGCAAAAAAATAAAAACGGGTTTTTGGTACTAACTGCGGTAAATATGGTTTTAGCTCGCGGTGCTGCTATTAAATTTGTCGACTGACTCTTTCGATCGCTCGGAATGGAAATCAAAATTTCTGTCGCCATGGTCTCGTACTCGGGTCAAAAATATTTACCAATGTTCCACGCATGATCAACTTAAGTGGGAAAAGGTACTCGAGAAGGGGACGGTGCTTGGTGCTTGCTGCCGGCGTTCGTTATCGTGTAAAAATATTAAAAATAATAAATTCCCAAATCTACAATTTTCTATAATATAAATTCAAAACCCTGGTTTAAAATGACTTTTGAAAACCATTGCTATATTGTGAAAGTACTATGAATTTTCGGATTATTATATATTTCAAAATAATAGATACAGGGTGAAGCCAAAAGTTGATTTATAAATTATAATAGTAACGAATAATTAATTTTATTAAATTGACATGCCGGATTCTAATGAAAGTTAGATTTAAAATTATCATTAAGAATACTAATTCGGCAATTGAATAAAAAAAAATAGTAATGAAAAATGACTTCATTACATCACTTGCATTTGTAAGTCCGCCATATTTGCAGATTTGCAAAGTTGCAGATCTGCAAAGTTGCAGATCTGCAAAGTTGCAGACGTTCTGTAATCTCACCCTTAGTGTCCAAATTTTAAAACCTTGTCTATCAGATCATTTTGCTCAGCTTATTATAATACCATTTGAGGATACTACTTTTTGCAGAGAAAACAAATATAAACCTAGCTTTTCTAAACACAACATAACTGAATTCTGTAATTACCTATCAAAAGAAAATTGGACAAATGTCAAGGCCGAATCTTGTCCAAATTTATCCTTCGATAATTTTTTTGCGACATTTACACATTTTAATATATGTTTCTCACTGAAATGTTATCCTTCACGCAAACATAAATACTCACATTATAATCTAGCTAATTCCCCAGAAATTGTCCATACAAAAAATATTTTAACTACTCTAGGAGATTTAAAAAAAATTTATCCTCAATTAAAAGACTCATATACTGCAGTGGACAAGTATTATAAAAATCTCTTAAGTAACTCAATGAAAAACCAACATGATGCGATGATTTCATCTGCACAAAATATAACAAAAAAATGTGGGAAATAATTAATAAAAAAAGTGGTAAACGCGTAGGGCACAGGGATGAAATAAAAGTGAAAGAGAATGATAAGATTTTAGACCCTGCTTCCACTGCCAAAAAATTTAATGATTACTTTTCATCCGTGGGTAATAATTTATCACAGCACTTCAACAAACAAATTAATACAGACTACGTTTCTTCGACCACAAAAAATCAAATAAACTCAATGTTTTTACCTCATATTACCGAGGAAGACGTTTCTTCAGCTATTTCTAAATTAAAGTCCTCCACAGCTTGTGGTTTCCATGAGATTTCAAGTATATTACTTAAAAAATGCAAAACACACATTTTATTACCATTAACGTATCTTATTAATATTTCTTTCCAATCGGGAATTTTTCCCAAGTCATTAAAACAAACTATAATCTTACCCTTATTTAAAAAGGATAATCCTAATGACATCTGCAACTATCGACCAATTAGCCTGCTTTCTACATTTGCAAAAATTTATGAGATAATCATGTATCACAATTTAAGTAACTATCTTACCCGGAATGGTCTGATAAATGATTCACAGCATGGGTTTATTAGAGGACGGAGCATTGACACGGCACTCTTTACGTTTGTTAAAGAGGTTATAGATGCAATTGACAATCGATCTGCAGCTATTGGTTTGTACATAGACCTTACAAAAGCCTTTGACTGTGTCAATCACTCGTTACTTCTGATTAAGCTCGAGCATTATGGAATACGTGGTATAGTACATGAATGGTTCAAGTCTTATTTAGAGGGTCGCACTCAAAAAGTTACTATTAGATCTTCTGGTGATACCTTTTTGTCTGAGTCGGTAGAATGAATGAAAAATTTATTTACAGATTTATGTACAATACTATTTACATCTACAATACATGTTGATTTGTCCGAAAATCTTCGCCACTGTCCTCCGGCCTAGGCTAGAGAAGTGTGGGCGTCATCCCGTACCCCAATCACGAATGCAGAAATTTAGATTTTGAGTTTTAAGGTGCCATCTCCTTATTTAAACAAACATTATATGGCATTTTTGACTGTTTTGTATACGTCGATAATTGATCTTAACTCATGAAGATGTGTCTTTTGTTAGTTATGTCTCGTTTCCCTGAAAAAGCGTGAGAAAAACAGGGTTGTCCTTGTGTTTGTCGGTTGTCCGTATAGTTTATGGCTGGGATGTGCAAATTCGTGAATTACACGGTGTTACCGTCCAGCGATGCAGCGAAAAATTTCGCCGTTTCGATTTTCGGTTCACCGTGCAGTCCACCGTCCGACCAGATTTTACGGCTAGTCGGTTTGAATTTGCACATTCCGTTATTTTGTCACAGGGAAAGGTCTGCGTTTGTCTGCGTGTGTCCTATGTTCAGAATTGTCTGTATATTGTCAGTGCCTTGTGGAGACATCCATGCTTCCTATGAGCACTGTTTCCCGCATTAATACTAAGTATATCTTCCTTGACATTGGCAGGAAGACTGTTTTTATAGAACCTTTCGGATATGTGAAATATATATGACTTTATAGTGGGCATGGATGTCTCTCTGGGTATGTCAGTTATCCTAGAATAGCGGAGCCACCCCAGTGCCTGCCTTACGCAACTGTTTTGCACTACTTGTAATTTATTAAAGTGGCTTACTGTCATCGAACAGAAGGCCTGGCATCCATATGTTAGGATGGGTCTTATGATTTGCCTGTATATTTTAATTTTATTTTCTCTACTGACTCCACTTTTGCGTTTCAACAGTGGGTATAACGCTCGAATGGCAGCTTTGGCCTTTTT